AGATAGATAGATAGATAGATAGAGAGAGAGAGAGAGAGAGAGAGAGAGAGAGAGAGAGAGAGAGAGAGAGAGAGAGAGAGAGAGAGAGAGAGCTCTGAAGGCGGTGTCACCGGCCAACATAACTCTCTGCTCTTTGTCGGTGGCGATGATAATGTTCTTCGATAAGGTTGTTTTTAGTTCCATACTATGGTTAACATTGCGGATCCCGTTGCGCTCTGGCTTTGGGCGATTGATATGGACTGTATTCGGTTACGTTACATGAACTGTATTCATTTGATCGATAAAATTGAGTTTTTCTAATGGCTTTCTCCGCGGTTTTCTCGCAATGCAACGACTGTGATGTTGTTTCGGTTTTGTCATTTGGGATGCGTATGGTAATGATTTTGGAGAACGAGAATCATTATGTGCAAACGCTAAAGACGAAACAAGAAAGAAAAGAAAAAAAGACAGTGAAAGAAAGGCAAGATAGCAACAGACAATGTCAAAAATCGGTCCCTCGTCGACATATTCTCCGGGCGTTGGTTAGGATTCTCTCTGGCCAGCCGTTCTCTATTTTTCATAGAATTTATGGTGGTTGTTTACATCAAATTTTGCCCAATCATGCAATTGTTTCTTTCAGCCGTGCTACCCTAATTCAAATTTCGTCACATTGGAGCACCCATCGACGTCGCCTTTCGGGTTTTCCCTCCCTCGACGCATTCAAATTTTTCAGTGTATTGTTTAATGGAATAGAAACCGGATGTATGAATGCTCGTGCAGATGGGGAGCTTTGATGGGCCAAATAATTGACAACATTCAACGTTGGAACCAAAAAGCACCTAGCGCGGAGGGCCAGACGGACCATCAATGTATAAAGAGGCCCTTGTGTTGTATTTTCTTCTCTGCGATGCCTCACGACATTCAAAGTGAAAATGAATAGATGAGTGTAGACGACGGGGAAGGTTCGAGAGAGTGGCAGAAAAGTATAGAGATAGTTGGAGTTCGGATGCATCCGAGTATGCGGGGAGAACATCACACCACACAAGACACAAAATGACGAAAGTGAGAAAGCCAATCACGAAACAGGCGCCCCAACAACGGGGACGTTCGCGAGAATTGAAAGCCAATGAGAAAGAACAATATTGTCGACGACAAACATGTCGGGGACATGACAATTTCACCCGAAGATATCCTGGCAGTGACAGTCAGTTCTGCTCTGAACCAAACCGAGAACACCCACCAGTCTCTCTCGGAAAAAATGAAAAGGAACAAATTTCGTCCGGAGAAGAACAAAATGTTCTTCTAAGTCAACCCTTCTACACTACATGATCAACAAAAAGATAGACGCTTACCTACCAACATCGCAAATCGCCAAAGCTAGTTTAGCTATGATAGAGGAGATGTGTCTATGGGAGAAACCAAAAGGTGGACGTAAACCTCTCACCAAACAAAAAGCGAACATCAACATGAACGCCCCGCAACTAGCCCCGTCGTGCTGCCGAGGGATACCTTTCACGCTGACCTTGCGAGCGAAGTGGTCGAAAGTGCGACTATCACCGGCGGCACCTGGCACCGTGTTCAAAAATTTAATAGATTTATCTAAGAGTACGGAGTAGAAATCATCTTTGGATGACGAACACGAGAAAAAATCATAGATTTCCAAAACACGTCTAGAGAAGTCAATGGCCAAAAGGCTCCAGTGTTCTCCATCCTTGTGCACTGGTGCCAAGACGAGGTAATGAGACAGGAGGTCCACATCTTTAGCCCATCTGCAATCAGCTGCTGGACCTCGCAGAAGCAGTGTAAAGGCGAAGAAATAGTTAAAGGTGTACGTCTTCTTGGTAGCAGCAGTCCGGCCGCAGTCATCCAGTAGCATCACCATGTAGAAATTGACGACCTCATCGTTGAGCTCCCCGGATCCATCCACGAGTGTGACGATGTCCTTGAAGGAAACCTGTAAATTGTGCGACGGTAAACGCGCGACGATCATAGTGAGCGGCAACCGGGAGCAGATAACGTCTTCAAGGACTGCTCTTCCATCTCGAGGAAACCCTATTCAACAAACACTTGCAGCACACAGCAAGCACAAATGATGGGGCACTATGAGAAAATGCCGTCCTAGCGGCCATGGTCCGACGAACCGCTACTCTGTGGCCCGAAAAGTTCACGCATAACGTCACCCCTACTTCTGGACCTTCCACACACAGCTGATTCTAAACTAGCACTGTCCTTCTTTATATCCCTGCAAGCCTCGAGAAGGAATTCCTTGCAGTCTTTTTCGGCAACACCCGCTGCCTCTGCGACGAGTCTAGCGCGAGGGCCCAATACGGGCACGAAAACCCTTCTGGGAGGGCCCCGAGGTTTAGTCTCCCCAGGAAACGCATCAGTGACATTGCGACGACCAGTGCCTCCCGCAACTAGGACTGACAACCTGGCGAGGGCAGGCAGCTCCTGCGACATGTGTGTTTGTCTACGAGCTCCTCGACCTGTACAAGAAATAGCCACCCAGACAGTTCAGTAGGAGATCAACAACACAACTTCACAAGAGCAACCAAGCAAACAGCACCTCACGAAGCACATCGTCAAATCCAGTTGGTGGCCGCATACACACCTCCCCGAAATCGACGAAGCAAACAACACTTCACGGACGGGCTGACGAGCGAGAAGCAAGCAAAGGAAGACAATGCTCACCAGGCTTAGCTTCGACGTCACCAGAGCCCACCGATGGCAACCCCAGCACGATTGGCGCCCCCGTGCGCGTCGACGCGGCGACGACGTGCTCCAAACTCACAGGGAAACTTGACAGGTTCGATATGTCGGTGTCGATGACCGGCGATTGCATGAATTCATCCCCATCCCGATGGCGGAAATCCTCCACGTCCGCGACGAGCAATTTTAGTCTGTCCGTCTCCGGACAAAGAGCATCGACGTCCACAACATCGATAGGTTGGGTTTCCTCCGTCGCCACTGTGTCGCATTGTGTTGTGCTCAAGGTCCCATGGATGTCCAACAACACCTTTCCCCCCCTTAACTTCTTGTCCTCGTGCGCTATGTCTTTATCGTCGTCACTCAAATAGAGAAATCTATCTCCAACAACGTCATAGGACTTCTTCAGAACGTCCTCTCCCATCGCCTCGTCGTGAAGGCCGGAGTACAAGGGGTCGTCGTATGCCGGCTGAACTGGTTGCTCCATCCCGACGTCGCCGAGTGTCGGATCAATCCGGTCGTCGGCGGAGTCGTCCTTGTCCAAAGTCGTCAGAAGTCGACAACCGTCAAGTCCTTCGTCCGTGTGTCTTGGATGAATCCGAATTACGGTCGTCTCCAAAGTTGCATCAGGGAGGGACATGCTCACAGGGCCCTGGTTCGGATTCATCCGAGCCACTGCAGTTTCCAACGGCGACGACGTGTCCGCTTTGACCGGAGAGTCGCTTAAGACTGCTAACTCAGCGCGTACCGTCACCAGGCATTCGGCTCCGAGTGTGCAGGGCTTGACATTGAAACTGGTCGCTAACTCACCCTAAGTTGGACAGTCTGCCTGCAGCTCCTTGTGGACTTCCATGCACAGCATGACGGTGTCCTGACACCGGTCGTCTGTCATGGCGGACACGTCCTCCTGGTTCGGATGAATCCGAATTTCGCCGCCAGGGTTTTCGGAAACCCGGACCACCCGTTCGAGTTCTGCAGACCGCTGTGCTCTCTCAACGGTACTGGCTTCCGGGTTCAGATTAATCCAAACTTCATTTTGAGGCGAAACCGAGCATGGTTGGAGCTTGTCGCTGCCGGATCCGTGGTATGTTGTCGTCTCGCTTCCGGAAGGCATTGAATTCCGGACGACGATGTCCTCTCCAAGGTTCGGATAGATCCGATACAATCGGCCAACCGTTTTTGAAGCTGAGCGAAGCAAGTTCCATTCTTTGCTACAACTGCCCCGCTAACATCATCGCTATACTGTGTTGCGCTGGTGCAGCTAATCACAGGGTCCTGCTCGCCAGGCCGTGTAATCCACCCAAGCGTGAAGTCGTTCCCCGTCTTCATTGAGGTGCTGCCTGTCACCACCAGAACGCCACCGTCCTCATCGCGGTCGACATTGGACCCCTGCCCGTCTCCTGTGTGATGCTTTGTCTTCTCTCCCTGCGAGGCTTTTTCTTCTCCCAGCTGCCCTTTTTCCCCTCTCCGCCGCGTGCGTGCCCCGGAGACCGCTGTTTCGTTGAACGCTGTTCACTTCCACCTCCGATACCTCGTTGCCCGCTGCCTTCACCATCCCCTTCGCCGTTCTTTCCACGAGACTTGCGCTTCACAACTCCTGCCGGCGGGGTGCCCGCAGGCAACTCCCAACTCACTTGCTTAATTGACGGGCTTGATGGAAGGGCGTAGAACGTGAGGGACACTTCCAGCCATCTATTTGATTGCAATAAATCGAACAGCGTGTCCCCGTATTTGCGTAGAGCAGGGTCGTCTTTACTTCGTCAATTGACCTCACTTAATCTCTCCAAAACCGCATCGTAGGCACGAGATTTGAATGTCTCGAGGTCCCAACGATCGTTATATATCCACCCTCCCCTTATGTCCCTCACAGCCACCGCCCATTCACCGTCGAGAAGGACTGGCTGGAAATGGTCTGGGTGCCACACGCTATCATGGCCCCAATCTTCGGCTGTGGAGAAGGTGTGTTTGTCGTCCATATGGAAGGGAGTCACAGGAGCCTTGAGATGCGGATGGTCCGGAGGAACTGGATGGCCGGGTCGAAGATGTTCGGGTTGCGGTGTGAGACGAATAGCCTCCCCCGGCGAACTCCTCAGACGGGACAACCCACCCCTCTTGACAGGCGTTGAGGAGGACACTTGCGTGGGGCCGCCCGAGGTGGGTGTAGCGAGAGGTGTCCCCGGTTTGCATACTGACGGCGACTCAGAAACTTGGGCGTTGAAGATGGCCAATTGCCCGTCCAAATCGAAGAGGTCGTCCTCAACGCTCTCCTCCTGCTCAGCCTCGATATTGAAGTCGTCCTCCTCACCGAATGCCAGCTTGTAGTTATCCAAAATGAAATCGGCCGGATCGACGAGATTCCCGTTAAAAAACACATATTCCAGCCTCTTAATGAAGCTCACAGCGCCGGCCCGACTCGCTCCGTGGTAGCCCTGGAGGACTGCTATGGCGACTTCCTTCCGCACCACGTACTGCGGGTCAAATCTCAACCTTGGTTGTTCACCGTAAAGGAAGGAGTAGACCTGGCGCCTTTTCTTTGGAGTCAACTTGAAGAACATGTCCTTGTTCGGGTCATAAACGGGCTCAACCACGACTTGGTGGAAATCGCATGGGTGAGCCTTGGACGACACTTCATGGGTGACATACTGCACGTTGTATTCGAGTTGCGTTGTGTCCCCATCCACGACCAAGACGTGCCTTCCCTGCTGAAGCAGACTCCACACCACCTGGGCGTGCGGCTTGCCCAAGAACAGCACGGCATCCGCCCCACCACAGAAGAAAAGAAGCTAATTGCATAACTGATTCGGATTTCGCTCGCCGTCCTTGTACAGAGCCCCCCTCTGGTGAGGTTTCCGATGTCCGCGAAAGTCAAGGACTTGAAAGACTTCTTCTCCACATCCGTGGGTGTCACTTTCTGTTTCCTACGGAGAGCAGCGTCGTCGTCTTCAGCAACAGCTCCCTCGTACACCGGGTGAGTCAGTAGCCGAGGATCTTCGGCTTTGAAAAGGATGTGCATCACATCCGGCTCCTCCCAGACGCTGTTTCCGAACTGATGCGTCTTCTTCGCCGCCGTCTTCCGAACCCACTTCCCCGTGTAGCATCGGGTAGCCCCAAGCGCAGACACAAATGTCATGAAGGAGAGGTTCCACAGGCAATGAACGAATACTACCAATGTCCAGTAGTCCTAACAAACGAAGCCCAGCAACTCACTCAGAGACGAGAATGCCCCAGAGTCCCATTGCGCACGGTCCACAGTTCCGCACAAGTCGAGCACGCAAGTGTGGGAGCGTAGCTGATGCCCTAGTTTTCCCAGCGCCTCCTTATGATCAATTGCACTCAATGGGTCGACGTCAAACTGGGCCAGCGTCGTCAAGGCACTTATCCTCGTCGACATAATGTTGATGCATTCATCAACGCCCCGAGGGTTGTTTTTGCCTTTGGCGCGATCTCCCGTGATTACCGAAAGGACGACACGCTTCCACTCCGCCGGGAAATGCTGGTCGTTGATGAGGGTCACCGTTCTCTTAATGTTGTTGTCGTGTTGACACCCGAGAAACTGAGGGCACTTGTTGACGTACGTGGAGTCCATGAAAAATTTCCTGCTCCCGTTCCAAAGCTTGTCGTCGAGACCTTTGTCCTTGAACTCTTCGAACAGTTGCCTCTTTGACTTGAAGAACGTGGAGTTGGCATTCCATTCCCGCTTATCCATTTCCTCGTACTCGAACTCCACGTAGTGCCACAGCCTCAGCATAATCCGGTCCATTTTTATTATGTCGACCATCTCCTTGACACTGAACTTCCCCTGCTCGGCCAACTTCTTGCTACTCGTTTGAACCCACACGACGTTAAGGTTCAAGACGCCGTTCAACAACCTTTTCTTCTCGAGGTCCATCATGTCCACCAGACATCCGGCTCAGGAACTTAGACGTAGAAAGTTGTTTCCTCCGCGCCTTTCTTTGGCTTCCCCTTCCCCTTTTTCAACGACGGGTCGTCCACCTTCACGTACCAGACGTGTTTCTTCAGCCCTTGGCTGTCAGTCACAGTGGAGAGTTCTGGCTTGACCACCTCCTCATGGGTGGGCGACTTTTCAGTCCAACGCCGGCCGTCAGAAGCAAGGAGTTTCCCTTTCGACCACTCCTTGTAGAACTTCTCTCCCAAAGCGAAGACGGAGTCATCTGTCATGGCCAGCGGGAGGTAGTATCGAAGTTTCTCAGCCCATTCCTTTCTTTTCTTTTCTTCCGTTGACAGATTTCACAAAGGCGTGTACAGTGTCTTCTTCATAGCCAACACCATGAACTGCACCCACTTTCGCACCTCGTCCTTTTTCTTCGATGCATTGCCGAGCACCACACGTGGTTTGCCCTTAATTTTTCAGGTATTGCGAATGTCCCGCATAGACAAAACCTGCAAGCGCGGTGGATTCTTCTTGTCTATCATGTTGTCTTCGCAGCTCACATGGGCGTAGCCGTCGAACTCGTCGTCAGGGAAGTAGATCGGTCTGAACGGCCATTCACAGAAGTTGTAGTACTCAAACACGGGATGGTCTTTCACCTTCATCGTCGCCCTCGTGTTATGCTGTTCACACACAGGATAATACCCCTCGATGATTTCGACTGTTTCCCGGAAGACTCACCGATTCTTCGCTGTGTCGACGAGTCTTTTGGCGTTTCATCCCCACCTCCAACCCTTTTCCTCTTCTCAACGGAACCGCCCTCTCGTGATGTTGGCGTCTGAGCACTCCCTCCTACCTTTCTCTGCCTTTTCAGAGCACCTACTCCCTCTCGCTCTTCCTCATCTGGCAAGTTGCGCTTTCCTCCCGACTGAGTCTTTTCAGCCGATCTCTCACGGAACAGCCCCTGCTCGGACACCTCCTCCTCACCGGGGACGTTCCCACTTGCTTCTCGTTCCAGGCTCAACTCCGTCTGCAGTTGTGCAGGCGGAGGCCAAGCTCGGCGAGTCGTCTTATCTGACCCAATCACCTCTCGAACCTACGGACCACCCGCGCGATCTCCAGGCGAGACCCCGGCCACCTGCATGCCACGAACAAACAAACCAATCCTTTCGACCAGACCACGAGGAGTCGTCGATTCTGAGCCCTGTCGCAACCGTTCGCCATCACCGCCTCCACGTGGCGGCGACTCCCCAAGCAAACCTTGGCGGCGAGATCCATGCAAGCCCGGTTTCGAAGGAGCACGCAGATGGTTGTACTCCAAGTCGTCTGACATGCCCACCTCTTGATCTGGAGGCGTAGCTGGCAGGCCACCTTGACCTCCCATCCCCCTTTCAGAGCACTCTCCTCCCGCGAACCCAACAGGACCACTGATCGATGTCCCAGGTCCGACATCCACGACACTGACAGAGGTACTTGATCTCGCCCAGACCTTAAGGAAGTCTGTCACGTGAACGGCCTCGTCGTGCCCCGGCGCTAGCGGGACAAAGTACGGCAAAGACATCGCACGCCGACCGTACCCGCCGAACATCCTCCCGGCAACCTTGCATCCTTTTGCGATGTCGTCGACGGAACCATCACTTTTGTAATGCTTCTTCAACGTAAACTTAAAATTGTATTCGCGAACGTCGACCCACTGGAAGATGGACCCTGCGAGACGCGTTCTGTCGGCGCGAACTGCGACGAACAAGAGTGGCCCGCACGGTGGTTGCAACGGGTCGGAGCTGTCCTGGCTCGCCCAGTCCAAATACCAGACACGTTTGCTGTAGTCGCACCACAAGTTTTGAGCCCGTCGTTCTTCCTCCCCACCGCCACCTCCAAGGATCGTTTCCCTTGCCGGCGACGACGTCGTACCTCGACGCTCCTCTCCATGCGGGGCGGAACCACCAGCGGAGTGGCTTCGTTTGTGTGTAGCCATTCCCTGAAACACACGGAGGAAATGAACCCACATGCACTCAGAACAGTCAGCACGTCATTAACCACGACCCACAGTACGTATTCTGTTATCTCCCACCGGGACCCCAAAACAACGAAGTTCACTCATAGTTAGACGACAGTGGTCCCCACGCGTGCACGTTTCGGATGAATCCGAGGCATCCTGAGCCATCCTCATCACAATGCCCTTAAGAGAACGAATGGTCGAAAATGAAGACCGCGGGATAGATCAGATATATCCGAAGCAGGCGCAGTCGAAAAAGCGACGTCGCATAGGCACCTGCACTGGGAAAAGCAATACCTAGCAAGAAGGCACTTGAACGCTGACACAGCAGACGAAGACGAGCACCCCGTGGTGATACGGTGTCATCCGAAGTCGACAAGCGGATTGTAAAGTTCGCCGGTGTAGTTCGGATGCATCCGAGCTCCAAAGTGGTGTGGAGCACCTCTTGCGGCGCGGACCAAACTGAACCCGAGTTTTCTCGTCCTTCTGATCGGTAACGGTTGTGACTCGGATGCATCGGAATTCGAACAGCGCGGTCCAGAGAGGGTCGTCCACAAAAGGGCACCATCTACAGCACGTGTTTTTGTCACCGACCTGTGAGCACTGGGTTAACCCCATCCTGCCTGAGGTTTGGTTGGGTTGAACCTAAACTTCGCAAATGTGGCTCGGATAAATCCGAGACGGGGACCGACGAATGGACCCCACGGTCTGTTGACGCCCATCTAGCCGACCAAGCTTCCGTTATTCCCCAGCTTTCCTTGGGTCCACCCGCATTTCGCACGGTGTGTATCATCCTTGAGCATTTAAGACGGGTGTGGCTCGGATTTATCCGATTTCGACAGGGGCTGTCCCCATACGTGCGACCACGACAGGCTGCGCCGACACCGTGTGCTTTCGTCGTACAAGTTTGTCAGACCGTGCAACGTCGTCAATACCCGTGCGCATGTTGTAAATCCGAACAAGCCATCGGTGTGGTTCGGATGAATCCGACTTCACCGAGGCGCTTCGGCTTGTTGTCGCCCCACCACACACTGGACCTCCCCGCGATTGCCGTAGTGTGTCATTATAATCTGTGCGTCATCACGGGGGATGTCGTCGTCCTCAAGAGTTCTAGTTGGTTGTTGCTCGCCCAATCCAAACAACAGACACGTTTGTTGTAGTCGGAGCACAAGTTTCGAGCTCGTCTTTCTTCCACCCGAGCGTCATCATCTCGACTCGTTTTAGTTGTATGAATCTGAGGCATCGTTAACCTTCATCATCAGACTGCCTCTCGTAGAGCGAATGGTCGAAGACGAAGACAGCGGGGGAGTTCGGACACATCCGAACTGGGCAGAGTCGAAAGTCTGGCGTTGTAACTCGGATGCATCCGAATTAGCACAATGCGAGACAGAAACGGCCGACCACAAGAGGAGGCCATCGGCATGGCGTGTTTTCCTCAATGACCTGTGAGCATAGGGTGGACCCTTTCCTGTCGGAGGTGTGGTTCGGATTAATCCGAGACGGGGACCGGTGGATGGACGGCACGGTCTGTTGACAGCGTGTGATTTCGTCGTTCACATTTATCAGAACGTGCGACGTCGTAAATACCGTCTAAGCATGTGACAAATCCAAATTTGTCGTCGGTGTTGTTCGGATTAATCCGAACTTTGCCGAGGTCTGTCGGTTAGTGGTCGCCCCGTGAGTTTTAGTGGGTTGTGGCTCGGATGCAACCAAAATTGACAAGGGTGGCTCGTATACGTTAGTTGTTGCGCCAACACAAGATGGTATGGACAGGGTGGGCTGTCGTCCTCCTGGTTGGTCAGACATGTCGCCGTCGACAATACCCTATGAGCATCTGATCGCTCTGTGTCCTGTCCTGTGTCCTCGTCAGCGGAAGGTTTCCTCGCGGCGTTCGGCTGACACGAGGTTTGATAGGGTTTAAAAATTTGAATTCACGTTCGCGTCCTGTGTCTTCGGATTTGTCGTAGCAGTCTTCGGATTACTGATCTGTGATTGCACTCAGGCGGGACCAACCTAAGATCGGTTGAGCGACTGTCTGCAATACACGAAGATTGGAGAAAGGCAGAAAACACGCACGGACACGGAAGGGAGACTAAGATCGATAGAGCATGGGCAGCGAGAGAGTTTGTCATTATCTCTCTGTCTCTCCATGTGCAGATCCTGCGGATGGTGTTGTCCATTTCGGAATTCGCAATGTGACCCAGTAATAAAACTGCGCAAAAGAAATATACGAAAAAATTGTTTGTGTCGGCGAGAGGAAGAGTGCCGAAAAATGTGAAAGATTCGACGAATGTGGAGGACAATTTGCAGATACAGAACCGAACGCCGAGCGAACTGTACGACGCGACTTACGCGGAAAAACGAATAAACAAACCGAACGCAATAAAAATTAATTCAGCGAGAAGAAAGCCCATGTGCAATCCAGAAGAGGCACATTTCGTGAGAAACCATGCTCTCGTGCTCGACAAGATACGACTAAAATCCTGTTATCGCAGTTCGTGAGAGAGACAACAAATTGACGATAAACGAGTAACACTTCAAGACAATATCTGAAGTGACGACACAATCTCGAAGGGCGTGTCACAACATTCTCGGGCTGCATTCGCGGGTCCCGTTTCGTTGGTGACCACTCACCCCGATCACATGGCACACTCGCACGTCCATGCGTCAGCTCCTGAACATGAGTGGCCACGCTGATGGATGTGGGGCTCAATTCGACAACATTCTGTTGTCGCATAGAGCACCGCATCCATCAGCGTGGCCACGCTTGTTCAGGACGTGACACGTGGACGTCTGAGTGTGTCGTCTGATCGGGGCGAGTGATCGCCAATAAAACGCATGCATTCTTGCTCCCGAAACTCCTTCATCTCGCCCCGATCAGATGGCATACTCAGACGTCCACATGTCAAGTCCTGAACATGCGTGGCCGTGCTGATCGGGGCGAGTGATCGCGAATGGAACGAGATCCGCAAACGCACCCCGAGGTAAGTTCAGGAAAGAAACAGGCCATCGCATAAGACGAACGAAATAGAGGCGCTGAAGACAAACTAACGACGGGGACGAAGATGGTAGTTGAACACGACGGCACACATGTCCACGTGTCAAGTCCTGATCATGTGTGGCCATGCTGATCTCTCTCTCTCTCTCTATATATATATATATATATATATATATATATAGAGAGAGAGAGAAAGAGCCATATATAAAGAGAGAGAGCTATATAGAGACAGAGAAAGAGAGAGAGAGAGAGCTATATAGAGACAGCGAGAGAGAGAGAGAGAAAAAAAAAAAAAAAAAAAAGAGAGACAGAGCCAAATAGAGAGAGAGAGAGGGGGAGTGAGACAGAGAGAGATGAGAAAGGGAGATAGAATGAGGGAGAGAACGCACCTTTTCCTTCCTTGATTTACAACTGTTGTTGGAAATAATGGCCCCGGCGACTTGGCTGATGATCTCAAACTGCAATACGACAACGCGTGTCACGAAGCGCGAAAAGGGAGGTGCCGACGCGTGAGAGGACAAAACCGCGAATGGAGACGTGGGCGATTGCGACGCGAAGGAGATGGCGAGGCGAGGGCGACGAGGGAGAGGGAGAGAAGCGAGGTAGACGGCGGGGGAGATGGCGACGAGATGGCTGTGTCGCTGGCAAGTGCGGGTGGTCCGGCCGCGCGACGGGCATTTTCGGCCGTGAGGGTTGGCGACACCAGCGATTGCCTGCTGCTTCGGACGATTGCAATGCCCACCTGCAAATTCGCAGAATGGCGCCACCGTCATTCGAATGGCGGATACATCCGCGCGGGGCCCAAGAAATGAAAGTTGGCGGGAAAAGTCACGCGGGATGACGCATTGGAACCGTCGATATCACGGTAAAATCCGCGCGGGCCCCGATAATCAAAAGTGGGCGGAAAGGTTTGCACCAGATGATGCGTTGGAACTGTCGATAGCACGGTGAAAAAAGGCCTGTCCTCTCGAAATCACAGCCCACCCTCCCGCGACGGTTTCACATCGGGCGATTTCGTGAGGACGGTTCGTCAGAAAAGGGACCGCCTGATGTCACAGCCCCTGACGCGGCAGTCCGCCGTTACTTACCCTGCAGCGGGCAGCTCAAGGGGCCCTCAAGCCCCACTCACCGTTCTCCTGTCGGGCACCAAACATATGGGGGTGGTTGTCACACCCATTCGCTGGTGCCATTTCTTCCGTATGTTGCCTTTGCGACGCGTCCGCCATCGCTCGAAGTCGCCGGTTCTGCCACATCCCACCGAATGAGCCGAGGACGCTGGGCGGTGGCTCGGATTAATCCGAGCCACGGATGGTCGCACGACATCCCATTTAATGTCTATCTTTCCAAGGCGGTTGCTCGGATTGATCTTAACCACGGATTGGTAGGCTTGGATTAGCTTCTGTCTAGGACTTCTGTTGATGAGTGGCTCGGATTGATCCGGACCTCGGATCCGGGGCGGGGCGGCAGGCTTGGATGAGCTTCTGTCTTGCAGTTCTGTTCAGCTCATATTCAGAACGACCGTGGTAGGTAGAGTTTGTGCTTTCATGGCTCTGCGAAAAGTACTTGTCATGTCGACTGTGCGAAAATGTCTTCTGTAGATGAGGCGGTGTAATGTGGCTGTCCGGCGTCGGTGTGCTGTTCCGTTACTCCCCTAGAAATACACAAACGGATGTTTTGCACACGACGGCGAGGGTCGTCCGACTGTTCTGTCCGTCTCAATGTGCTTTACGACTTTGGTTTTGATCATTTTAGGAAATTAGGCATCTGCTCTGGAACGGGTCCCTTCATGACTTTTAGAAAACACTACATTGGTCTGGTGAACTTCTGATTGATGACCTTCTATGAGGGCTTTGCCACGCGATGTGGATTTTTTTTTTTTTTGGACGATTTCCGATTGACGGCCTTCTGTAAGGGCTTCGCCGATAAAAAAAGTGTTAGGCGTTACAACTGGGTGTGGGCCTCGTCGGGGAAACTCTCGTTCACCAACATTGTTTACAACAGTCTTGTCTTCCGTATGTCTTTCC